ACGCTAATCCTTCTTAAATTCTTTCAAAAACATAGAAAAAGAGGGAACAGTTCCTAAGTCATTTTATTATGAAGCCAGCAGTACCTTTTTACCGGAGTCCCAACAAAACTACAGAACAATATCCGTTATCAATATTGATACAAAAACCTTCCATAAAATATGAGCAAACAAATTCAGTCAAATGTTAAAATAGTAATACACCATAATTAAGTGGAATGCAAGAATGGTTCAATACAAGAAAATTAGTCAATGTAATACATACCACATTAATAAAATGAAGGAAAGAAATCTACAAACTATGTAGCCATCTCAATTTGATGCACCAGAGGCATATGACAAAATTCACATCAAGTTATAGTAAAAATACACAGTAATCTAGGAATAGAAAATCATTTCCTTAAAGTGGGAACAAGATCATATATGAAAATCTACAGTTAACATCATAATCAATGGAGAAAGATTGAAAGCCTTCCCTTGAAGATCAAGAACAAGGAAGGGATAGTAGTAGCAGTTCTAGTCAAAGTAATTAGGAAAGAAAAAGAAATAAAAAGAAAACATATTGGAAAGAAGGAGTAAATTATCACTGTTCGTAGATGATATGATCTAGAAAATCCTAGGGGCTGGTGCTGTGGCACAACAGGTTAAGAAGCCATCTGCAGCACCAGCATCCCATATGGGTGCAGGTTAAAGTCCCGGCCTCTCTATTTTTAATCCAACTTCCTACTAAGTGCCTAAGAAAACAGAAGATGATCCAGGTGTTTATTTGGGTCCTTGCATCCACATGGCAGACCTGGAAGAAGCTCCTGGCTCTTGGCTTTAGCCTGGGCCAGCCCTGGTCGTTGTGGCCATTTGGAGAGTGAACCAATGGATGGAAGATTTCTCTCCTCTCTTCTCTGTATTTTTCCCTCTCTCATTGTAACTGACTTTCAAATAAAATAAATAAATCTTTTTTAAAAAGATAAAATCATATTCAACAAAAAATGTAAGAATTAATAAATGAATTCAACAAAACAGCAAGATACAAAGTCAACATACAAAAAGCAGTTGCAATTCTATACACTAACAATGAATGAACAAAAGAGAAAATTAAGAAAGCAATTCAATTTAAAATAGCAGCATAGCAAATAAAACACTTAGAATTAACTTGGCCAAGGAGGTAAATAATTTTGGAATGAAAACATTGTTTACAGAAAATAAAGACAGAAAAGAGAAATCCAAGATTGCTGAATAGAGAGGTCTGACACTGCCTTCACCACAGAGAAGAATAAGAACAACAAAGGAAAGACTGCATTTCCAAGAGATTAACTGAGGGAATACTTCAGTGAGAAGTGATGGGAACTGTAAACAGCAGAGATTTTGAAAGCTAGCAGGGACAGGGGGTGGGGGAAGAGAGAGAGAGAGAGCGCAAAGCACAGTGCTTCTTCTACCCCAGCTCCCTGAATGGAGGGTCTCTGTCTTGCCAGAAAAATGTAAGCAGAAACTCCTCAGTCTTGCCATTGCTGAAGCTCTAACCACATGGGTATGGCACAGTCCTCAATGGCTTGAAATTCGATATAGAAAGCTGACTGGGGAACAAGTAACTTCTCTACAAAAGGAACCCACATCGACTCCCTGAGCCTCCAGAGCCCCGATCCCATGCTGCTGTTGTGCAGAGACTGCTAAATACCATTCTATCTTAGGGAACGGCAAACAGTGCTAGCACAACCGGAGGCCCCAGAGCCTGTGCTAGGGCCCCTCAAAGAGCAGAGAGCAGGCCCCTTTGCATCCTGCGACTATGGAATCACCAAGCACAAGTCTCAGAGCCACATTTGCGTGCTCTGTGTGATCTAGGAAAGTTCTCCTTTGCTTCTTGGGGCTTGGTGCCAGCAGGAGTTAATAGACAAACCTAGAAGACCAAACTTACCTGAGGAAATCCCCTTCTGCATCTCTTAGCACAGGTGTTAGGTGGCCAGAGCATAAGCCCCAGCATCTTCCTTGCATGCCCCCTGTGAACTAGGAACAGTTCCTTCTGTGTCCTGTAGTTTGTTCTACAAACTGTGGCTGTTGGTTCTACAACTCTAGGGTAATTCGCATTCACCATTGGAAACTGAAATGTCCTATCTGTATTGCTTCACTTCACCCTGTCAGTCCACAATCCCAAGCAAAACTAGAACTTGATCTGTGAGACCAGGACCAGGATCCCACTGCATTCTACAGGTCTGGGTCTATGACTGCTGCTTCTGTAAGTCCCATGGACATCTGCACTTTTCTGTGGGGTCTCAAAAAAGTCCTATCTGCATCCCCATACTCCAGCCTGCCACTGCTGGTACACAATCCCAAGTATAATATGTGATAAGACTTTGGAACCTGTATGATGTACCCTCTGAATCCTAAAGCTCTGAGACTCTATTCCTTAGTCACCTGAGTTCACTCCAATGGACCTGAATCAGGAGACCACTGCATCCTGCAGCTCTGTGTCTTTGACTATTCTATAAGTCCCAGGGATACCTGTGCTTAAATGTAGACCCCAGAAAATCCCCTTCTCCATCCTCCTGATACAGACTTGCACCAGCTAGAGCAAAATCTCTAGTGTAACCTGCTAACAACCTGTGGAATGTTGATAGAATACCCCACAAGTCCTGTAGCTCTTGGGTTGGGACTGTTGGAGCTGTATTCCACAAAGCCCCCTGAGTTCTCCCCATAGTACCTGGGGAGAGTACTCTCTGAAAGCTACTGCTCCATACCTATGACTACCTGCACACAATTTCTAGCCTAACCTGTATTCCCCCTGTGTGATCTCGAGAAGTTTCCCATTCATATCTCCCAATACCGGGACTAAGGCTTTTGGTGCTGTAAGCCCTAACATCTTCCATGCTCACACAGCAGAAACTGGGAAGATCCCTTCTACATCACACAGTTCCAGGACCACAGCTATTGATGCCATATGCCCTATCATAACTCATACTTGCCTGTTAGGACTGCACCGTCTGGGTCCCACAGCACCAGGAATTTGACTACTGTCATCACAAATCCTAGTGCAACTGACATCAAAAACAACTCTGGACCCTGAAGACACATGCCTCTGGAAACCCACACCTACTTCAAAGTCTCACTGCTATTTCCCTGAGCTGTTACATAGTAGACAACTCTTACACTCATAGACAGTGTTGACATTGATTATAACTGAAGAAATAACTCAGAGGTTGCACTTCTGGGCTCACCTAGAGCCAAAGCTGAAGAAACTACTCAGTTGACACCCCACTTTGCATTTGAACAGGAAAGACAGCTATTCTATCAAATAGAAGGAATTTATACCAGATGTACCAATGTCAACATAGGGAAACAGGAAACATGTAGCAAGGAAGCATGAAATATCCAAAAGAATACAATAGTTCTCCAGAAATAGATCCGATTTCAAAGAAATCTATGAAGTGCCCAAAAAAGAATTTTAAATAGCAATCCTAAGTAAACTTGATGAGATATAAGAGAATACAGATAGAAAATTCAAAGAAATAAGGAAAACAGTCCATAGTATCATGAGAAGCTCAACAAAGAAATAGAAATCATTGAAAGGAATCAATCAGAATCCTTGGAGTGGAATACAATATACAATAGAGAGCTTCAACAACAGAATACTCTAAGCAGAGGAAAGAATTTTTTTTTTTTGACAGGCAGAGTGGACAGTGAGAGAGACAGACAGAGAGAAAGGTCTTCCTTTGCCACTGGTTCACCCTCCAATGGCCACCGCGGCTGGCACGCTGCAGCCAGCGCACCACGCTGATCCTATAGCAGGAGCCAGGTACTTATCCTGGTCTCCCATGGGGTGCAGGGCCCAAGCACCTGGGCCATCCTCCACTGCACTCCCTGGCCACAGCAGAGAGCTGGCCTGAAAGAGAGGCAACCGGGACAGAATCTGGTGCCCCGACCGGGACTAGAACCCGGTGTGCAGGTGCCGCAAGGCAGTGGATTAGCCTAGTGAGCCGCGGCGCCGGCCAAGAATTTTCAATGTTGATGAAGACCAAAAGACCTCACCAACTCAACCAAAATCCACCTTCTCCAAGGAATATTACGATCAATTAATCAAACGTTAATGAAAAGGAGAGGATCCTAAAGACAGTAAGACAGTGAAAGAAAACCATCGAGTTACGTATAAAGGAAAACCCATTAGACTAACAGCAGACTTCTCAGCAAAAACCATACAGGCCAGAAGAGAATGGGATGGTGTACAAGGTCTTGAAATAAAAAAAGAAAAAAAAGCAAAGAACTCTCCAACGAAGGCTGTTATATCCAATGAAGCTATCCTTTAGTATTGAAGAAGAAATAAAATATTTCCCAAACAGAAACAGAATTTGTCACCCTCAGATAAGCTCTATAAGAAATCCTGAACAGAATCCTACATTAGATGTAAATGGATCATAAAAACCATCCTGAAAACACACTATAGTGCCAAATTCAGTAACAGAGCAAATGTACGAAACAGAAAGAGAAGAGGATTCAACCTTATTATGACAGGAAGCTACCAATTCATAAAGATAAATAATAAGAGAGGCAGAAGCATAGAATATATAAAACAGTTGTAAACAAACAAAATTATGTAAATTAGTTCTTATATATCAGTATTGGCCTTGAGTATAAAAGAATTAAAATCCTCAGTCAAACGATGGATGTTGGGTTAATGGGTAAAAAACAAGACCCAACTATTATACTGTTAGGTAGGAAGTCAGATATGAGCTTATGTGTGTGTGACATAAAGGCCTAAAGAAAAGACATCTATGTCCAGCATATGCATCTGCATCTCAAAGTCATCCTGATAACGTTTCAGGGGCAGCCCAGTATTCATATCCTGCCCTGCCCCCTCCTACCCAATAACCTGCCAGGTGGGGGGTCCCCGCCCCTTCTGCCCAGCAGTCTTCCACAATCTCCCAGATGCAGCCCAGTATCTGCATTTCAAATACCCTGCTCTGTATCCCGATTCTCCAGGGGGTCTTGCTCACCTTTCCTCTAAACTCAGGACAGTGGCACCAGCTAGGCTTCCTCCTGTCTGATACCTTCAGGGGAAAACTCAGATAGGAGATTCTTAATATTTACATCCATAAAATCCTTTGTTTCAGGAGGAGATGTGTGAAGACAAAGACCCATCTCCTTAAAAACCCCCAGCCTTAACCAGACTGCACACTCAGCACTCTGCCTCTCTGCTGAGCCGCCCACTTGGCCTGCCTAGGTGTAATCTCTCCACTCAACCATGTAACCTCGCTCCTCCACCCCGCCCCCAGTCCGAGCGACTGGGCACTCTCCCTCAGGTTCTGTCTGGAGAGGTGCCCATCCGTTCTTATGGATGTCCCTTCCCTAATAAACCTTGCTATTTTACCTCCCACTACTCTCTGTCTCACACCTGAATTCTTTCTTGCATGAAGAACCCTGCCATTCTGCAGTAACAATACTACCTATAAGAAACTCACTTCATAGATAAAGATACCCATAGACTAAGGTGAAGGGTTGGAAAAGTATATACCTTGAAATGGAAATGAGAAGTGAGGTGGAGTAACTATTCTCATATCCAATAAAAGAGACTTTAAATAAAAACTGTAGAAAGACAAAATGCCATTATAAACTTTTTTAAAAAGATTTATTTTATTTATTTGAAAGAAAGAGTTACAGAGAGAGGTAGAGACAGAGAGAGAGGTCTTCCATCTACTGGTTCACTCCCCAGATGGCCACAATGGCCAGCGCTGCGCTGATCTGAAGCCAGGAGCCAGGAACTTCTTCTGGGTCTCCCACATGGGTGCAGGGGGCCAAGTACTTTGGCCATCTTCTACTGCTTTCCAAGGCCATAGCAGAGAGCTGGATCAGAAGAGGAGCAGCCAGGACTAAAACTGGTGCCCATATGGGATGCCGGCGCCTCAGGCCAGGGCTTCAATCTGCTGCGCCACAGCCCCAGCCCACATTATATACTTATAAGCAGATCCATTCAACAAAAGATATAACTAACATAAGTGTATGCACTCAAAATATATGCACTGAAAATCAAAAAAGGATACTTCAAAATTCAACAACACCATAGAATAAATGGACCTAACAGATATTTGCAGAACGTTTCACCCAAAAGCTACAGAATGCACATTCTTCTCATCAGCACCTGGAGCATTTTCCAGGATATACCATAAATAAGCACAAATCAAGTCTCAATCAATTTAAGAAAATGAAAATACCATATGCCTTAGATCACAAAGAAATACAACTAGAAGTTAACAATAAAGAGGGCAATAGAACATTTACAAATATGTAAAACCTGAACCACATGCTCTTGAATGACCAATGGATTACTGAAGAAATCAAACAGAAAATAAAAACTTCCTTGAAAAAATTGAAAATACAACATATCAGAAACTGTGGGGGTACAGCAAATGCAATTCATAGCAATAAGTGCAAATATTTTTAAAAATTAAAAGATTTCAGATAAACTATCTAACAATGTATCTCAAGGACTTAGAAAAAGAACAAACTAAACCTCAAATTAGCAGGAAGCAAGGCATGATAGGGTTCCAAGCAGAAATATTGAAACTAAGAATCCAAAAACAAAATCTGATTTTTTGAAAAGGTAAAAAAAAAAATAGACAAATGTTTAGTCAGAGTAACAAAACAAAAACAAATAGAAAACTAAAATAAATAAAATAGGAAATACAAAGGCTCCTAAGAAACTACTATAATCAGGTATCTGCTAACAAATTGATGAACCTCAAATAAATGGATAAATTCCTGAATACATACAACCTTCCAAAATAAAATCAAGAAGCCAGAGAAAATCTAAACAGAGCAATTGCATATAATAAGAATGAAGTAGTAATTTAATTTAAAATCTCCCATCAAAGACAAATCCAAGACCTGATGGATTTACAAATGAATTCTAAAAAACATTTTTTTAAAAGATTTATTTATTTATTCAAAAGTCAGAGTTACACAGAAAGAGAAGAGGCAGAGAGAGAGAGAGAGAGGTCTTCCATCCGCTGGTTCACTCCCCAATTGACCGCAACAGCCGGAGCTGTGCCAATCCGAAACCAGGAGCCAGGAGCTTCTTTGGGGTCTCCCATGCAGGTGCAGGGACCCAAGGACTTGGGCCATCTTCTACTGCTTTCCCAGGCCATAGCAGAGAGCAGACCAGAAGTGGAGCTGCCAGGACTTGAAACGGCTCCCAGAAGGGAGCAGGTGGTGGCTTTACCCTCTATGCCACAGCACTGGCCCATCTAAAAAACATTTAATGAGGAAATATTTCCAATTCTCAAAATAATCCAGAATATTGAGAAATATGAAATTCTGTCAAATTTTTTCCATAAGACTAGCATTACTTTGATACCAAAACCAAATAAAGACACAAAACACAAAGTTTAGACCAATATTCTTGATGAGTATAAACCCAAAAATTATCAACAAAATATTAGTAAGCTAAATCCAGCACTACTTCAAAAAGATCAAACACCACAATCAAGTGGGATTTACCCAGATATTTATTTGCAAGTCAATAAAATTAATAAAGCAGTGGAGGATGGCTGTGAGTAGACAGGACACGAGAGCATTCATTCTAAGAGCATGCGGGCGGATAGCCGTGTGCTCCCACTTTTATTTAGAGGGTACCAACAGTTCTATAAGGCAGCAGACATGTAGGCAAGATTATACATCAACTTAAGGATTTGGGAAAAGGAATTTGGTCTGGTGGTCTAAGACAGGGATCAGAGCTGTGCTGTAAATCTTCAGAGACAGGCCCATTTAAATACTCCTGCAAATTTACAAATTCCCAAAAACTCCCCAGATACCAGTTAACATCCATTAGCCCCTGCTGCCCCTGCTGCCCCAGCTGCTACATTCCTTTGGGGGCCGGTGTGCCCACCACCACCACCTACCCCTCCCCCCCCGCCCTACCTCGCCTGTTTTGGTGGGAGCAGAAACCGTGGCTCTGCCTCTAATTTCAGAGCAGTTTGCTGTCTGAGAGATATTTATGCAGCATCTTCTACAGATGGCCGAAAGATTTGGGCCCCTGTATCCATGTGGGAGACCCAGATGAAGCTCCTGGCTCCTGGCTTTAGCCTGGCCCAGACCTGGCCATTGTAGCCATTTGGGGAGTGAATCAATGAGTAGAAAATCAGTCTCTCTCCTGCTTCTCCTTCTGTCTATAACTGTGGCTTTAAAATAAATGAATTAACCTTTAAAATAAAATAAAATTAAATAGAAATAAAAATAAATGGGGACGGGCCTTAGCTCAGAGCTGGCTGCTGCAGTCATTTGGAGAGTGGACCAGCAGATGAAAGATTCTCTCTCTCTCTCTCTCTCTCTCTCTCTTTCTCTCTCAAGTAAATATATAAGTATATATTTTAAAATATATTGTAAAAAGAAAAGAAAGTGAAGCCGGGCCTTCTACATTCTCTAGGCTTTCAGCTCTACCAGAGAAGTCCAAGCACATGCCAGGCACAACCAGAGAGGTTCAAGACTTACTTTCTTTTCCCTATAAAGAACCTTATGCTTCATTTATGCCAAAAAGCTTTGTATCTGTGTTGCCTCTGACTCAATCTTCTTTGCATTTTCTCTGTCCTCTAAATGACAATGAGAAGGTCTCTGCCTCAGAGCTACGTCTGAGGAAGTGTTGGCAATAATCATAATTAGAACTGCCACTGACTGTCTCCTCAACTAGAAACTACACCAAGCTCAAACTTAATTTAACAGGTAAAATTAATGAGCTCATGCCAGGCACTTGGCAAAGACACACACATATCTATATCTATATCTATCTATCTATCTATCTATCTATCTATCTATCTATAGATAGATAGATAGATAGATAGATATAGACAGATATATCTATATCTAGATATCTAGATATAGATATAGATATAGATATAGATATAGATATAGATATAGAGAGAGAGTCTGATTTAGTAGCCCAGAAACCCCAAAAGGTAGAAATCACTGGTCCAACTGAGGTTCAGAGAGTCAAATGGCCTGGCAACAGGCCCATGATACCCATTCTCTCAGAGTCCAAAATCCTGGCTCTTACCTTTAGGATGCTCCCTCTTGGTCATCTCTTCTAAGCCTATGGCTCTTCCCTTAGGAAGTTACCTAAAAGAAGCTACCTCAGCTCTTCCTTTGTTAACATCCAATTCTTCTTTCCTTTCTTCATACCCAAAACCCAACCTCACCCTAGCTATATGGTAGGCCTGGCCAGTGACCCCTCTTCTGGCAAAATACAGGTAGTGAGATAAGAAGCACATATCCAGGCTTTGTAGGTGGTGGGGTTTCTCAAGTCACAGACAGATCTAAGTATTGGGATGTAGGAAGAAAGATATATAGTGCCCCCAAAAAAAGGAAGATCCAGGGGAAAAGAAGGTGGGTGTGTCATTTTTCTTTAGCTGCCCCTGCAGAGGTCATCATGAGGATTAAAGGTATAAAGAGATTCTTAAGCTGTCAAGTGAAATACAAGTATGATAATACTATATGGACTGTATTACCTCAACATTAAGATGTTTCTCCTGTGTCTCTGTGTGGTGGTGGTGGGATTATGTCACCTACTAGGTTCTAGAAACTGTCCTCAGCTATGAACTAATTAATAAAACAGTTTTCAAACTTCAAAAAAATGTTTCTCATATTTTATTATTGACAAGCAAAACTTACCTTATACTTTGTAAGTACACTAACTTCACTAAGACGTTTCTACCCTCTGTTAATTCAGAGGTGATTTTGCAATGGATGGCTTCTTACCATCCACAGCACTCCATATGGATTCAGTTGACATTCCCAAGTCAGGGGTTAGCAATGAGATTGATGTTGTGTTTTGCTCAATAAGAGTTTTTCTAAGGTATATAGCCTTACCTGAGAGGACAATCTTTAGCTACTGTTTTTCCAAGCAAGAGAAGAAAAGCTGAGGGTGCGCACAAGCCCTAAATTGCTTGGTAGGGCAAGGAAAGGCAGGATAAGGCCCACCTTACCTTTATTAGACCTAGAGCAAAAAGTACAATTGGAAGCACCCACAGTGCTCCCCTTTTCTAATCTCATCCCAATCTGGTCCTATCAAAGAACGGTCTTCACATGCTCACACGCAAACACACAGCCCTGCATATAGTTAACACAGGCACTGACCCTAATGTAGTCGTTAGCTACTCCTCTGGCCTTAGTGTGCCACATCCATAGCATCGTTCACCCTTGAGCAGATCTGAGAAAGAGGCTCACAAAGGCTCTGGAGGCATGCTCGGGGCCCTTTGGGAAGGTGATTTCAAAATCCCAGTACTTGGAACACGGGCTAGGTTCTGGACTCAAGAAAGGAAGCCCCTATGACATAGAGAAGTTAGAGACAGCAAAGTCCAGAAAAATACGTTTACCTTTGATATTGCCTGCAGTTTCAGGGATTCCCAAGACTTCCCTCAGTTTGATACTCCCCTAGAAGCATTCATAGAAAGGATATTATCCTCATGCATTGGTTTAATATAGGGAAACAACACAGATTAAAGGTAGGGGCAGGGTTCAGTAGGGTTCCAACTGTGGTACTTGCATTCATCCTCTCCTTGTGGGACTGCTGACAGCATTAACTCCCCTCAGCAGTGATGTATAACAATTTGCACAGAATATTTTCAGCTAGGGAAACTTCTGTAAGCCAGCATTTGCGATGCTGCTCAGTCACATCCATGTTGACTGCTCCCACAACTGAGCTTTGGTCTTCAGTCCCTCCAGAGGCTGCCCTTTGGAGGTAGAGCACCTAACATGTGGCTGGCTTAGTGCCCTCTTCATGAGTAAAATTGTTAGACTGTTTGGCATTGTCCAAAGATCCTAAGTTTAAAAAAAAATTCTTTCTGGAGAAATTTCCCAGGATACCAGGTCAAAGGTCAAACCTTTCTTTGGGTATGGTTATGTTTTTTATCACATTAGCATCGTACTCCTGACTCATAAGGATCACAATGACCAGAAAAGTTAGAGGTTTCCCCATTAAATTTGAAAGTTAGATAACAATGAACATTGTTTCTGCATAAGTATATCCCAAACACTCTGTGGAACATACTTATCCCCCCAAAAGTTTGTTATTTATCTGAAATTAGAATCTCATTAGATATTTTCTATTTTTATTTGCTAAATCTGCCAATGGGCAGGAAAAAGGATACACCTGGGTCAGAACTGTGGCTTCTTCAGCTTCTCAAAGTAGACGTCTTGTTTTCTGAGCCTAAGGGCTGACTGGGTAGCATACCTATGTATTTGCTGCAAACTTGAAGCAGAGTTGATGATCGTTGAAGGTCAGCCCCAGAATCTCTAACCACAGATGACCACTCAGATGAGGAAGAATTAAAGAGTGATCCAATCCGTCATGTGGACAAGGAGAAAGAGGCTACCTGTGTGGGTTTGGTCACAGCAGACACTGCACATTGTCAGAAATCTCTTACTGTGAGTCAGTTTTGGATATTTCAGACTCACTCCTGCCAACAATCCTGAGGTATAGTCCCTCTGCTTCCACTCAGATATACTTCGGTTTGCATCCCAGACTGACTACTGGTTAGCTACTGTTCTCAGGAGATTATTTTTTGAGACTTCAGTTTTCTCTTCCATTAATTGGATCTACAACATGTTTCAGAAATGTTTTGGAGAGAAGCATGAGCTAATTTATATAAAGCATCTTGCATGTACTAAATTCTCAAGAAAAATTTACTTCTCTCCTACTTTTTTTGAATTAACAATTGATTTTGTTATGAAAGTATTCAATTTGAAAATTTGAGACACTGTCTTGTGAAATTGAGTGACTTTCATTTTTGGTTGAGGAAGTCAAATACTGGTTGGTTATATTCCCCATACCTGTTCCAAGTCTTTGCAGCCTCTATGAGCTTGAAAGAGAACACTCACTAGCATAGAGAAAACCATACCCATATGGGAAAAAGAGTCACCAACATCCCACATGATTGTGTTTCTTAGAAACCAGCCCTGAAACACCAACCACTTAGTTTGTTTATACTGTGGCCTTTATTCCCAAGCAAGATGTGGATTCTAAAAATTCACATGTTCTTCATCAAGAGAATAATCTTCAACCACAAAGGGAAGGATCTCAAAAGCATTTTAGTTAATACATTCCTTTTGCTAATGTAACCAAAATATTCCAGTGTTTTCCCTTAATACTCTAAATTTACAGCTAGCAGACAGATGCTTCTTCTCAAAGGCTTTCATAAATCTTCCCATATGAGATGGAAATGAAGGATTTATTCTTGCCCGTCTTTTAATTTTACTCAACACTCAATGAGTTATTCTTACAGCTGGCATTTCAAATGTATTAGTAGAATTTATCACTCAAAGGCTTTTGCAAGGACTAAATTACACTAATGAATTGACTATGAATTTGAAGCCTAACATGAGGCCAAATATTTTCTGGCTTCATTTCTGTATCTCAGCAAACAGCTTAATTTGCTCCCTACTTATCCATTACTGCTAAATAGTCTTGCTATTATTGTAGTAAATGGCTGCAAACCCTGGCTTACCCTAAGGCTCAGGCTGAATGGAGTGGGAAGAGGACATTTGCTGTAGACAGGAAGGGTAAAAACCTGCCATCCACTCATTTTTCCAGAGCTGGAGGAGGCAGGTGGGGATCATAGTCCAACCTACCTTTTTCAGTCCCTCTCATAGTCATAGTCTATTCTTAACAGCTGGCATTTTCAATGTACTAATGAAATTTATCACTGAAAGGATTATGAAAATGTTAAATTATACCAATGAACTGACTTTGAATTTGAAATTGAACATAAGGCCAAATATGTTCTGGCTTAGGGAATTTTTTTTTTATCTCAGCAAACTACTTAATTTTGTTCCTACTTATCCATTATCGTTAAATCGTCTTGCTATTATAGCAATGTCTGCTAGCAGCATTATAGTTAAGAGTCTGTGCATGTTTTCATTATAAGTGCCTATTTTCTGAGATTCAGACTATTTGGGAAACTATGGAAATCACACAAAGCTCTCAAGTTTTGCTGGAATTAGTCCAGCCTTATATTTTACCTTTTGTACACATTAAGAATCAGGTCTCAAAAGGGAGAAAGTCATCAGCTATTCCCCCAAAGAGTTGACATTCTGCTGACTTCCAGTTTTGTGTTACTCTGATTTGAACTGGTAATGTTGGTGTTTGCTTCAGCATCGTCCCATTTTATTTGCTGTGTCCAGTAGTCTTTTTCATTTAAGTGACAGTTGTGAATCATATATTCCTGTGAATAGTTTATTCCCTGCTAATCACCTACTGGACAAGATTTAATTCCTAAAAAGGGCAGGAGATTTTTTTTCAGGTTTTCATATGTGAAACACAAATGACCAACTGAAACTTGTAACCTACAAAGCACTCTGTTCTTCTGTGGGAAACAACTGTTTCTCATAAAGATGTAAAGGGGGATGAATCAAACAATCACCCCCAATCCTTTAAGTTTTGACATGCACAATATAAAGATTTTAAAACCTTGGAATTCAAGATTAAGATTGAGAAATAGGAATAACTAGAAAAAAAAAAGGAATAAAAAAATCTGTTGCCTTCAGTGAAACTTCTGAAAGCTCCAAAACGCTGTGCGTCTATATTCCTGAGTCAGTCTCCATGAGGCCTTGGGAAGCTCAGTGTTGCTCTGGTGTCGCATCCTCCTCTCTTGCCTTTTCTTTAGATGTAAGGAGTAGTTCCTATTGTCCCTTTCTCTGAGAGAGCTCAGCCAGAGACTTCTCAGACACAGTCTAAAACCCAAGACTTTCTCAGTTCCTACAGACCAACAGCGCCTAGGTATAAGGCTTAGAGGTAGGTGCTGTACATCACAAATTCCTCCCAGTGGGGGACTGAAGCTTGGGCCCAACTTCTCACTGCCTTGACCCATCCCTGGGAGAACTTGCATTTTAGTGAGGTGGTTTGACAGTATTTCACAACCCTTCTCAGTCAAAGCATATGCTGGAACTTTTAACTACAGGGAGCAGGACACCCCAGGCTCATCTCCCTCCTGCCAATTGCCTCCAAATTCAACTATCTGTCCATCTACCCCCTTTTCAGAAGTCACCTTCCTTTCCTATAATTCATGCTGTGTGTTAGAAATTGTTAAAGGGAATGAGAAAACCAATTATCCTATGACATGCAGAAGTTCTCTTCACATATCGCCAGAGGTCAAGTTGTGTTCGATGGGAAGCAAAATCTGCTTTATGGACCATTCTTAAGCTTCAGGTGATGCTCTTGGCTTCCACTGATGTCTTTCTGAATATGCCCAAGACACTGAAAATTATTCCATTTAGGAATTCATCAGAGAAAAGACACCTATGAATTTGCCCAACAAATTTGTTTTCTGTTCGTAACCTTGACTTTCAAAATAACCTCCCAAATCCAATTATTCTTGGTTTTTCTATAAGTGAAACACAAGACACGTTGCTGTTCCTGACCTTTTAGAATCAGATGCTACTTCTGTTTCACCTTGAGTGGAGGGAACTTCCCAGCATTCACAGCAGTTTCACCTTGCGTGAGGATAATAGAAGGTCCTACCTACACACTACTTTGCACTCACATCTTTTCTCTTTCCTTATTTTAATTTTTTTCAAGATTTATACCTATTAGGTTGAACAGAGGGCACAATGTGCTAATCTCAGGCTTACAATGGTTTCTCTTCTGCATGTGCAAGAATGAAAAGCAGAGAGTAAGGATGTTTGTGGAGACCTCTGGCAGAGGGGAGGCTCCCAAACTCAGGATTCTTTTTTTTTTTTTTTTTTTTTTGACAGGCAGAGTGGACAGTGAGAGAGAGAGACAGAGAGAAAGGTCTTCCTTTGCCGTTGGTTCACCCTCCAATGGCCGCCGCTGCAGCCGGCGCACCGCGCTGATCCGATGGCAGGAGCCAGGATCCAGGTGCTTTTCCTGGCCTCCCATGGGGTGCAGGGCCCAAGCACTTGGGCCATCCTCCACTGCACTCCCTGGCCATAGCAGAGAGCTGGCCTGGAAGAGGGGCAACCGGGACAGAATCCGGCGCCCTGACCGGGACTAGAACCCGGTGTGCCGGCGCCGCAAGGTGGAGGATTAGCCTATTGAGCCACGGCGCTGGCCCCAAACTCAGGATTCTAAGAGTGCTGGCTGAGCGGAGGCATTCAGAATAGGACTAGGCTAAGGGAGCCCAAACTGCCTACTGTAAAAAAATGCTAAATGCATTAAAAATTGTAATTCCTATGCCCTGGGATATTTCCAGAGTAGAAAAAACCTGTGTTTTGGGCCTGTTTGTTATCATAATTGGCTTCTTTTTTGGGGAAAGAATCACACTTTCTCTGATTCTGGTACGTGTGGCAATTAGAGGAAATTCCAAAGGTATTTGAAGCAAGTAGAAGCCAGGGGGCCGGGAGTAATACGTTGTAAGCAGTGAGCTCTACTTTAAAGAATAACTGGATTTTTCCCCCCAAGGTAAATTTACTCTGCATTTTGAAGATATATTGGATGGAAGAGCTGCCAGTCGTCCATCCTCTTAGCCATTTATACATGTGAAAATGATATTTTTACGTTCACATTCAGGTATGAAATAGCATGCCCCAATTCTAATGGCAAGTGATGCCAAGTCAAACAAGGTGCTGAGCCATGTTAATGGAAAAGACATTATGCCACGGTCAAACAAAGTAAAACATACATTTGATGTAAAAGGGATTCCAAAGGGAGGCTAATGTTTAAACTTTGTTGTGTAAGTTTTCTGGTTGCTTATCCTTTAATGGGCCTAAATTCATTTCCTGGGAAATTATGACCTAGAAGGTAAAACAGACACTCCTTCAAGAATACATTTCTCCGACTTTTCCAGGATAGACCCTCCAATTCCTGGCTCAATATCTTGGCTCCCATTCTTTCTTCTTTTTAGATTTTTCTTCCTTCATTTGTGCCAATCTCGAGAGTCTAGACAAATGTCACTACTTAAGAGAATGGGAGCATCCTCTTCTAAATCTGGAGTATTTACTACCTCTACTGATCATCCATAGCACATATACTTATACAGACACATTGGAAAACAGGAAATGGTAGTGAGCAAGAGCAGAGGCCTTAAAATGTAAAAGTGTGTGCTTCAGTACTAGCCCGACCTCTGACTATCATAGCTGTGACACCTGGTGAGCTCTTTACACTTTCTAGGTGATTTCCTCCCCCATAAAATAAAGAATATTATCAATACACCAATCCCATGGAGCTACTGATATGAACAAATGTGATTATATATGAAGTATTTAGTCAAGTGTCTGGGTCTATACAGAATATGGTGACTGTTAATATTTCAGTATACTTTCCACTTTCTTTTTAAATTCCTAACCTAACTCTGTATGGACATAAGGCCCCCTACTGTTCTCTACATTCATCTATACTGGGAATCATATCTTCTGCATATTTCCCTTTCTCTGAGGTTCTGGGACAATGCCCTGTACTACATTATGCGCAAAATAGATGAATGTTGAAATTTTGGGGCTGACAACTATGTTCCACTCTTGAAATGCATGATCTCTTCAGATTACATTGAAGAGACCAACGGGAAATAAGTATCATGTTTCACCAAGCAAATAAGGAAGCCCAAGATGCACAGCAGTTAAGTGTTAAGAGTGAAGACATTACAGATGACGATGATATTTGTACCATTATTAAATTAAAAAAGGGATATGATCAGCTGTTTGGCTTAGGGGTTAAGAAACCTGCTTCCCAAGCTAGGAGTGCCTGGGTTGAAATTCTAGCCCCTGCTTGCAGCTTCCCACCAATGGAGACCTTAGGAGGCAGCAGGTGATGGCTTCCTCCAATTGGGTCCCTCCAATCTATGTGGAAGACCTTGCTTGAGTTCTAATCTCCTCAATAAAATTCTGGGTATTTGGGAATGAACCAGCAGATGAGAACTGTCTCTCTGTTCTTCTCTCCTTGTCACTCTGCCTCTTAAATAAATAAACCATATAACAAAATAAAATAAAATAATAAATACAAGCAAGATGGATTCTCAAGAGAAAAACTGTACAGTCTGAAAATCAAACTGGCATTAAATCTGGTTCACACAGGGGAGGAATACTTTTTAAAATGTCAACATTTTGTGTGAAATATCTGATTCTTGAAAGAATTAACATGTAAGAACTAGTTGTCAGTCAGGTCTTGAGTAACCAGATGCTGGGCTCTATTTTGAGCCTTTAGATTAATTGCTGAAGCTAAATGCATAGGCAAAAATATCTCATTCATTCAAATTCTGGGCATGAAGAAAAAGTGTATGTAATTTAACAAAAATAATGGTAAATGTAGTCTTAATTTATTTTCATATCAAATTAGGTGACAGTCATTTCCTCATTCTTATGATACAAGATGGCATTAAATCTCTACCTTACTACTTCTCCAGGCCTCAAAGAATTCTCACCTCAGTGGAATCTGAAAACTTAATTTTTCTCAGTATATAAAATTCATAAGACTTGTAAAAAACATACCATAGTACCATGGCTTTTAATTTCCTCATGGCTTATATAAACATGAGGCTGTCTACAGCTGGATATGTGTGAGGTTTTTTTCTTCACTCTATCTAAGAGGATTGTTTTTGAAAAATCATCTTTAATTTAGAGAAGCATGGTACATAAAAGAAGTGTATACATTACCATCTGCTAAAAAAGTGTCGGAAGGCTCCCCGTGGCGAAGCTTGCAGCATCCTGTGGTTTCCAACATCATTACTTGAGGGGTTCGGCAAGGTTTCTCCTAAGCACTGTCAAGTCTTTGCTGAGCATTTGGCAGCACTGAGATTATTTTAAGCAGCTCATTTCGGTTATAGCCTGAAAAGATTTCCTGTTTTTATGACCTAGCCCCTTTTCTCAGGAACGGGCGGGGTGAGGGAAGTCTGCAACCCCAGAGCTGGGAAAGACCCTTGTCTCAGAAGCACTGAGAGGAGTTCCGGATAAGGAGACATCCATTCTAAAAGACGTCACCCAGAAGCAAGGCACCTGTAGGGCTTGACCTTGGTAAAGAACCAAACTCAAGAGAAAAAGTAGAAGTTAGGAAAATGGTTTACTTTCCTGATTTTTACAATCAACATCTGTTGGAATGGGGAAATCACAAACTAACACGTCACCAGGAACTCATGTTCGCACAGACATGCACGTACGCTCAGACACACATTTGTCATGCACAGCTAGCGTAATCTTTAAAAATTACTTTCTTGAGGATGGTGTTGTGGCATGGTGGGTTGGGCCGCTGCCTGCGCAGATGGCATCCTATATGGGTGCTGGTTCATGTCCTGGTTGATCCACTGCTGATCCAGCTAACTGCTCATGTGCCTGGGAAGGCAGTGGAGGATGCTATGAGTGCTTGGGCCACTGCCCCCATGTGGCAGACCTGGAGGAGACTTTTGGCTCCTGGCTTCAGACCAACCCAGGCCTGGTTGTTGTGACCATTTGGAGCATGAACCAGTGGATGAAAGATTTTCTCTCTCTCTGTCTCTCTCTCTGTGTGTGTAACTCTGCCTTTCTTTTTTTTTCTTTCTTTCTTTTTTTTTTAATTTGACAGAGTTAAACAGTGAGGGAGAGAGACAGAGAGAAAGGTCTTCCTTCCGTTGGTTCACCACCCAAATGGCCACTACGGCCGGTGCGCAGCGCCAATCCGAAGGCAGAAGCCAGGTGCTTCCTCCTGGTCTCCCTTGTGGGTGCAGGACCCAAGCACTTGGGCCATCCTCCACTCCCTTCCCGGGCCACAGCAGAGAGCTGGACTGGAAGAGGGGCAACCAGGACTGGAACCCAGCGCCCATATGGGATGCCAGTGCCGCAGGTGGAGGATTAACCAAGTAAGCCACCGCACCGGCCCCTGTAACTCTGCCTTTCAAATAAATAAATATTTTTAACAGGTTACTTTTCCATCCTTTCTACAAAACCTTTCAGTCAGTCACTCAATTTTTTCTCAATTTTCTCCCCCTACCCGACGCCTTGGCTTTTCCCATCATCTCATAATGCCCTGAATGTGGTAGCTCTGCCCAGCATCCAACTACTTCATCTGTACATGTGCCCTTTGCCATGCCTCTAGTGCCTGTCTATTCCATAACCTGGTAATTTTCACATTTTTAAATTTCAAATCCTTTCCAAAAGTGGAACTTTAGTTAGAAGCTGATGATATAAAACAGGTAAAAGCAGAATTATTCTATTTAAATGTGAATGAGGAGGGTCTCTTGTCTTTGTCTCTCATGGTTCACCATGTTGTTATTTTAATTTTGCTTTTATTTACAATATATATTTTGTGAGAATTTACTATATATTAGATTATGTGCTAATCATTCTTACTTTTACTTTGCATTTAGAAGCTGAACTCAGGAAATTAAAATAGTCTGCAGGATTAAAAATTAGTACAATGGGACTGGCACTGTGGCATAATAGGTAAAGTTGCCATCTGTGGTGCAGGGATCCCTCATGGCCACCTGTTCGAGTTGCCATGCTATTTTAAAACGAGATCTAAATTATTTCTGTGAAGGTTTAGATTCTACCAAACACATGAAAAAAAAAAACAAAGCCCTAATCTTTTTCTGTAGTAGCCATTCTAAACACCAACCAAACTCACTTCCTCTGGCAAAGTCCCACTTATCTACACCGGTAGATTTAGATCACCCCTTTACTCTGCATGTCCTCTACACGTATTCCTGTGCTTTGTAGAACAGGACACCATGTGGAAAATGGATGACTTGCCATCAAACTCCCCAAAGACAGAATGGCTTCACTCTTTCCTCTGCCCATCTCCAACCCTTGCAAAATAGGCAGTGGCTCACATAGCCATGAATGTGAACAGTAGTTCATTGAATAAAGGAGCATAGAGTTTCTCTCTTTAAAAAGTTTCAACTTTTCATGGTTGTGAGCAATGCCTTGCACCAAAGGTCTAACTCTTCCTATCACCATTAGATGCCTATAAAACTCAATCACTGTCTTGATCCTGAAGAAGCATCTTATAGTAGATGAATGTGAAAGCATATCAAATGGCAATTTTCCAGAACCCTGGGGTCCAAAGCTGAAGACAAAGAAAAACACAAACATCTTCACCTTTTAAAGGGAACCACGAGTAATTTGGGTCACTCACCTACCAGGCCTTATCAAGAGTCAGCTAAGAAATAGTTCAACCACACCCTTGATCTCAGTTCCTAGTCTGCTACCTGAAAATTAAGCAAAGGGCTTGGAAGGGGGACTGAGAGAAGTTCTGATAATCAGTGCCAGCAAGAACATAGTGAATAGAAGGTTTTGGGGTTCAGTTTTTTTTCTCTCTCACTTTCTTAAAGCCCAATGAAATTCCTTCAGAGAGAATTGCTTGTAACAAATGGGAGTGCCTGCAGACTGAAACCATGCCTCCTCATCATTCTCCATTAGATATGGCTTAGATAGGGAAGGCTGCTCAGCCTTTTGTTTCCCTAAATGAGGAAAACATGAGCTGAGATGAGAGGGTGAAGGGAAGGGGGTTTAGGGGAGCATCCTTCTTTCCTGTTACTGGGCTTGGCAAAGAGGCCTGAGTTTCAGGTTTGTAGGACACTGAGGAAGAGGGTTGAGGCTGTCTTGCTAAGCAAAAAGTCTGCCTGTAAAGACAATAGGCACAAAGGCAAGCAGCTGTGGGCTGTACTGAAAACAATAGGACCTTGTTGGAGGGGACATATGGAAGAAGACAGAGACGTGGGGAGGCCCAAAGGACGCCACAAAATCTTACGCATATCCCCTTTGCATTTGTATGACTATGCACTGAAGTCTTCAGCAGCCATCTGGTATTGACCAGGCAATAAAAACACTTGGAAAAAGGACATTTCCATGAACAGAAGTAAAGAGATGTTTGCTTTTTTTTTTTTCCTTTAGTGTCCTTTATCACTATAGCAATCCTAGAAATCAGATTGTGAAAATGGAAGGGCAGATTCAAAATCACATTAGGGTGTTTAATGCTGGAGGTAGCCCTAATAATAACAAAGGAAATAAGATGAAATATGAGAAAAGGATGATAAAATAGACTTGAATGGAAGGGCCTGGAAAACAATTGATCCTCTCCAAAATGTCACTGAGTGATGTTCAGGGTTATTTTTATAGAACATGGTTAAACAGCAGTTGGAAAAATGAAATCTTTTCCAATTATTAACCCACTAGATTGAGATGACTTCATAAAATTTACTTATATCAATTTATATCGAAAAGAAGGAAGTCAAAGTGTAAACATTTTTGTATAAAAAGTTCAAGAGAACTCCAAAGCTACAAAAATCTATATTTAGAGATCCTACAGGCCATCTGCCTTGACAATGTATCTATACAAATTGGTCACCTGTATAATGTCACTTTGGTCTCATGAACAAATGTTCTTTTGGAAACTTGTTTAAGAGAACCACTTACTTCAGTATATGAAGTAAGTTCTGCATGATTAACATTATTTTTGAGCAAGATTTTAACTTATAAATATATAAATTGAACTTTTTATATAAGTTTCCAAGCTACATGTCATAAGTTGTACATTGCAAGTCAAACATCTCAGGTAGCATAAGTTAAATACTGTAAACAGTGAAAGAACCACCCTGCATCATGGTCACTCTCCACTTGGCACCACTGTTAATAATTACTTATCTTTTCAGAAATTCCAGATATCTCTAGGAGCATTTAAGCTTATAAATGTGTTTCTTCTTCTTAGCAAAAAAAAAAAAATGGAATTTACCACAGTCTGGCTTTTATTTCACTACATATATGTTTTAGGCCATGCCTTCATGTCAGCACATGTGGATCCAACTCATTCTTTTTTTTTTTTTAAGATGTATTTATTTATTTGAGAGGCAGAGGCTCAGAGAGAGAGAGAGAGAGAGAGGGAGAGAGAGAAAGGTCTTCCATCCACTGTTTCACTACCCAAATGTCCACAAAAGCCAGAGCTGGGCTGATCTGAAGCCAGGAGCCTGGAATTTCTTCCCAGTCTCCCACATGGGTGCAGGGGCCCAAGGGCCTGAGACATCTTCTACTGCTTTCCTAGGCCTTGGCAGAGAGATGGATTGAAAATGGAGCAGCCAGGACTTGAACTGGTACCCATATGGGATGCCAGCACCGCAGGCGGCAGCTTTACCTGCTATGCCACAATGCCAGCCCCCAACTCATTCTATTAAGCATCACATAATATTCCACTTAATCTTAACCACTTTTTCATTAATGGATTTTGGGCTCAACTGCATGCATTTAATGTGCTATCACATAATAAAACAGTGATTATCTTAATACACATTTGTCTAATTCTAAAAGGAGGATCTCATTTAATTCTGAATTTACAAACCAATGTTACAGTATTATTCAGAATGTAGTATCTGAAGAATTGCATGATATCAAGAGGTTTGATAAGTAACCAGTGAAACTAAAATTCTGGTTCGTATAGTTTACGATATTATGTAATTTAAAACAGTACATCCAAACCCTCAAAATTGTCAGTTTATGTTTGATAAAAGCAAGTAGTCTTATTTAATCAGCAGACTCATAGCCCCGTGCTGGACCCTAGAGTGTACTGAGTGTATACACTTGCTGCCTTAAGCAGAGATGCGGTGAGAATTAATAGGGTAATACATACAACCTCCTGATGACGGGTGATTGCAGCAGTTAACGTAAACAGGGTCACTATTTCCTTTCTGGTTCGCTCAAGCTCCAGATGACAAAGCAAAGGCACGGCTACAGGTTTAACTTACATTTGTTTGTCATTCTTCAAAGTAATCACAACCTTCTCCAGTTTATCTGAGGTCAAAATACCTTCTATTTTAACAAACCAGGGTAAAGGGCAGAGAATGC